TGGAGAGTATCCGCTGGACGTAAACAGCGTATGCTGTTCTGTGTCAGCTGCGTCACGCCGGATCTGTTTCCTACGTTGTTGTGGTTTGATCTGAACGAAAACAGCGTATCCGTGTGACGCAGCTGACACAGAACAGCATACGCTGTTTACGTCCAGCGGATATTCTCCAAAATGGCACCAGGGTGATGCTGAGGAGGAGACGAATTGTTGAATAAAGTTTTTTTTTTTTTCTTTTGTGCACAAAACGTATTCTCGTAACTTCGTATAATTGCGGTTGAACCCCTGATGTCACATGGATTATTTTACAGATCTCCTTGCTATGTTTCTGGACTTGGGAACATTTCAGTTGTGTTGCTGTCTATGCAGGGTAAGACACTCTCAGATTCCATCAAAAATATCTTAATTTGTGTTCTGAAGATGAACGCAGGTCTTACGGGTCTGAAACAACATGAGGGTGAGGAATTAATGACAGAATTTTCATTTTTGGGTGAACTATCCCTTTAAGCAAAGCAAACGTCACGACCGAACACTGACGCCATTGCGCAGTACCGGAAGAGAAACCTATAGTTCCGGTTAAACAGCAGTGACGATGGTTTATGTATCAAATGGTGAGTGCTGAAAACAACCCTTGTTTTGTTAAGAATAGTAATGTTATTTTTGCTGACGAAACTGTACCTTTCTTATTATATAGTACATTGTCATACGCGACTAACGTTACATATGTAATTTAGCGTTATTTTCTTACGCCAGCCAAGAGCTAATATATTACTGTTTGGTTTTTTTTCTGTCACTCTGCTGCCTAACATACATTTTTGATATGATGCCTTGTGTTTGTGTGAATTATCAATACGACCCGGTCTGACCAACATTTGGTTTTGTTAATGTTACAATGATAATATCCAGGTTGGGATGTTATGAAGGCTATTATGGTGAATATTAATTAAATGAAGCTGACGTTCTTGTAATCTTTCTGGGTCGTCAGTTTACATATTCATCAGTCAGTTTGTTCATCCGTTTGCTGACCTGTATCTAAAATACAACCTCTGCATTTACGAAAGTCGTGTATTAAATATTCATAATAACGCTTTCGACATAGTAGGATTCGTAAATCTGCAGCCTTGCGCTGTAGTGGCCATACCAAGCTACACATTGTTCGTACATAATAAGTTATATATTTAGTTTGGAGCTCGTTTTGTGTGATATTTTTCTCATGTTTTCATCTCTGTGTTCAGGTCAGGTTCTGGACAGCAGGACCCGGTGGAGCTTGTCTTTCCTGAGCGATCTCTTCTGGGGTGCCGTCGAGTTTATTGGCTTGTTGTAAGTTCATGTTATTTGCATGTACGTTTTCTCTGGCCAGCTGGGACAGTAGTTTCAGCTTTTACTTGCCTTGCAAACACTGACTCTTTCTGCAGGCTAGTGAAGATACTGATACTGAACTTATATGGATTTATAACAATACAGAATTTATATATATTTAAAAAAAAAAATAGAATCAATTAGTATAAGATGAATGTGTTCACAACAAAAGACGAGTAGTCAACCCTGTTGTAATTTTTTCTTTGTTTTCATTTTGAAGTCATGAAAACTGTATACACAAGATGTTGCATTCACTCAAGACCTACACATATTGAAAGGTGAAGAGTCATCAGTGTGTGATTTTCTGCAAAATAACCTTGACAATAAAGCATTTTACTGGACTATCATGCTTTAATGTTACTAGGAAAACATTGTATTCAGAAATAAGGGTGAACAAGGAACTGATAAGGATATTAAGAAGGGTTTTACTGTGAAAATTGTGTAATTTGTGTCAAATATTAAACTGAAAGGTTTTATATAGTTTATTTGTATAATGTATTATTACAGTATTATTTTTGCTGTAAATATAGCCATTAATGTTGATATGTCATTAAACGGAATAGTTTGCCTAAATTGAAAATTTGCTGAAAATTTACTTACACTCAGTCCATCCGAGATATAGCTGAGTTTGGGCAAATTTTTAGCAGATAATTTTTGAGTGAACTAATGCTTTAACAAACGAATATTTGCAAGTTACATCATTACGACGGTAGGTGGCGATGAAATATTGCGAACAAATGCAATCCTACACGTCATTGCTGAAATATGTGACCCTGAGCCAGTCATAAGGGTCAATTTTTCTAAATTGAGATTTATACACCATCTGAAAGCTGTGTATACACCAGTGATGTATGATTTGTTAGGATAGGACAATATTTGGTCGAGATACAACTATTTGAAAATCTGGAATCTGAGGGTGCAAAAAAATCTAAATATTGAGAAAATCGCCTTTAAAGTTGTCCAAATGAAGTTCTTAGCAATGCATATTACTAATCAAAAAATAAGTTTTGATATATTTACGTTAGGAAATTTACAAAATATCTTCATGGAACATGATCTTTACTTAATATCCTAATGATTTTTGGCATAAAAGAAAAATCGATAATTTTGACCCATACAATGTATTTTTGGCTATTGCTACAAATATACCCCAGCGACTTAAGACTGCTTTTGTGCTCCAGGGTCACATATCTTACAGAAAACCAATCATATAAGTTTGCAAGGCCTTAAAGTATGGATCTACAAGCAGTGATCATTGTGTCAACTGGCCAGACTCTCTCTCTCACTGATTTGAGGAATCGTTCATTTCCGGAGCAGAAATGCCGCAAGACAACACACACACTCTTAACTTTAACACTTAATGTTAGAGGTCTGATCAGTCTGATAGTACTAGTGATGATCGACCTGGCCGAGCTAACGATCTGTATGTCTCCACAGCTTCCAGTCTCTTGTTCAGCCAGATCTGTCTAAAGATAGACAGAGCAGTGCATCGTCTCGCTTCAGCGATGGCAGAGGGTACGTCTCTACCCTTCATCAGCAGAACCACTGTGTTTGTAGTCATGACGTGATCAGGTTCTGTGTGTTTACACTGTGATGTTCTTGCAGTCCTCCTGGATTCCCTGGGCGCAGACGGATGGGCAGAATAAACCACGGTGCGGGTCCCACCCCTCCTCCTATGGGCGGAGGAGGATGAGGAAGGTTAGTACGAGTGAAGAACCTGAAGAGCAACCTGACACAAACTTACTGAGAGGAGGTCATCAAGAATAACCATATGTTTGTCTTTTGCAGGTAAACGCCTGCACAGCGATGCAGGTGCACAGGGGTGTGACATGCTGGTTTTAGCTGCATACTGCTCAGATAGGGCTCCGTTGCAGACGATCACTCAGTACATCACGCTCCTCTTCCTACGGCTGCCGCTGCTGTCACGCAGTTTCTTGACGTTACTCTGGGAATTCCTTGTCTGAGGGGCCAGAGGGACTGATCATGGCAGCCAACACACACACACACACACACACGTTACATAACTTCTCTCTCACACTTTTTTTTAGTAATGTCCTCCGAAAGATATGTTGTAGTGGATGTTGTATGTACACTTTGCATCAATAAAGTAAGTTATAATGATGATCCTTTGTGTTCTGTCGAGACTTGTGGCTTTTATTACTTGAATCAGGGTTTCTACAGTGATTTTTGTATTGCTGTTTGTGAGTGCAGTCTGTTTAAATGAGCTTTTAAAGATTTGTAGTCAGGAATAACATTAATTACAGACAACACAGTCAATTCTCTCGGTACTCTTCAAGTTACTAAATAATACTAAATGGTAAATAATTTAATGAATATTATTTTGTTCACTGGATGAACAAAAACACTGAGAGACCTGACCTTTACTAAAACAGGAACTTAAATGATGCTGCATTCTAAATGCATAGACATCATTATTATGGAGTTGGTCCTCTCTTTGCCGCTACAGTATAACAGCTTCTGGAAAGGCTTTCACACGTTTTGGAGCATTCCTGTGGGAATTTTTGCCCATTCATTTGTGAGGTCAGAAAGACCCTTTCCATCCTTCACATGGCAAGTTTTCTCTTTTGCCAGAATGAGAATAGGATAGACTCGGAATACATGGATTGGGCTGTAAGTGGATAAATTAGAGTTGAAGATTGGTCGACGCATTTCAAATGGAAGTTCTGTTTTTACTACTGACTTAATGGCAGTTCTATGGGCTTTATGCTGTATTGAGGAAGCTAAACCTAAATAAGTTATTATCTGTTCTGATTCTGCAGCTGCTTTGGAAACATTTAAGAGTAGGAAAATCTAAAGCTCGTCCTGACATTGTAAATGATGTCTTAGGTGTAGTGATATTAATATGTGTTGGGTTCCTTGGCGTGCTGGGGTGAGAGGGAATGAACAGGTGGATCACATTGCAAAGGAGAGCTTAAAAAGAGAAGTAGATATCCATATATCAACGGAGAGAGTGGAATTGAGGGAAACAAAGAGGTATTAATAAAAGAATGGCAGAATGCACTACTTTTCTATACAACCTGAAGTGAGGAATAGATAGTTATATACTTCTCTGTCTGAGTAGGGATTGAGTTAAACTGTGTAGACTGAGGTTGGGGCACTGTGGGTTAAATCATTTTTTATGTATGGTAGGGAAACATGTCTGGATTGTGGGAATGTGGGAGTCCTGAGACAGTAGGACATGTTTTCCTAAAATGTAGAAAGTACAGGGCTGAAAGAAAATGACTTTATGTTAAACTGACAGAATTAGAGGAGTTAGAGCATTTTCTATTTTATCTTTGCTTGGATACAGTGACAAACATCAACTGATGTCTGAAGCAGTTCTTCCGTTCTTGCACGATACAGGACTGTATATAAGAATTGAATTCAAATATTGACCTGTGGAGGGCAGTAATACGCCTAGAAGTGTCTACACTGCCACATGACGCGTCCAGTAGGTGGCGGGAAGAGACCGACGAAGCCGGTTCCTCTCCAGCCCAGCAGGTGGCGACAATGTACCGAAAGCTGGTCTGCCAACCGCCCCTAGACTGAGAGAAGTAGTTTGTTTAAACAGTCTCATGCATCAAGCAGTGTGTGGATAAATGTACTCTTAATTCATTTAGTTCATCAGCATCATCATGACACAAACAGACAGAGACGCGGAGAACGGAAGAGACAGAGAGAAAGAGCAGCGCGGAGTGAAGAGACCCGTGGTGCCCGCTGCTGTACCAGAGCCGTTACAGGAGGTGACAATTACATTATCCATCATCACATCATAAACAGTAGGGAGGAAGACAAAAATCAAGAAAAAGAAACTAAAAACATACTATGATTCCAACACTTTCGGTGCGTGCACCCCTTATAATAACAGCCAGGCTCGGTACTTGCAAGAAGTGACTATATCAAAATAGTTGTTATTGTTCTTTATTTATTATATTATGATAATAAAAATAGTAAGCATTTATTTTGATATTAGAAAGAATTGATTATATTTCCAAACAGTGATTTCATTCTTTCTGTTTTTCATGTCTGTTTAATAATGGTCAACATTTTGCGTCTCCCACTTATGAAAACACGTTTTTGTTTGCTTCTCATAATCTGAAGTGTGTTTAAAAATGTAAATAATACTGTAAATACTGTTTACTGTAAAATTCTGAAATGGCAAGAGCAAGAGACTGACTTCTGTGTAAATGAGTCTTACTACTGGAAAGTGTCTCAGATTATCCCAATCCACTTTACTTAATAGTTGTGGACTCTTATTAGTCAAATAAAAAATTGGGATAGTCGGAAGCACCTCATAATTCAATGAAACAGAATGAATTCAATGAAACGTTGATTGTGACTTTCAGCAAATTCAAGCCAACTTCATTGTCGTGATTCATCCCGGATCCAAATCTCTGCGGATGGGCCGGGCTACAGCCACCCTCCCCATAAGCGTTCCTCAGGTCATCGCCCGCAGACACAAACAGCCCGGTCAGCGCCGCTACGAGGACCAGTGCCTCTTACGAGAAGGACTGAATGCAAGTAACTTCACTGCCTCTCCATAATCTGATACTAAACATTATGATGTTGAGAGTTAACAATAATGCAGCTAATGAAATACATCAGTGGTTGATTGAATTTTATATTTTTATCACCCGTTGTTCACTGATGCTGTAGGCAGCAGACAGTAATGAACAGAGACAAAATGGGCTAAAAATGGTCGACCAGGTGATCTGGTCCAAGAAAATGTCCAACGGTGTGAGAAGAACCCCAGTGTCTGCAGAGCAGGTGCGTCATACTGGAGGTGAATCAGTATTGAGAGGTCTTACTGTGAACGCTTGTGACTTCTGAGTGTGTGTTTACAGGCCAGATTATACAACAGACAAATACGTGCTGCTGTGCTAGACCCAAACTCTAAAGTGAAGTGGACAAATACATCACATCAGCCTGAATATCTGGTAGGAGAAGAGGTGAGACAAGAACCTGGTCATCAGAGTCATAAACGCCCTGAAAATAATCAGAACTCTTGCTTTCTCAAATGTGACAACTTCTTACAAGTGTTGGAACAACTTTTTACTGTTTTTCCTTCAAACTATCCCTTTAACCCTGAACGGGGGTTTGTGACTTGATGAAAGGCTAATAATTAATTAAATCATACAACTGTAAAATGAAAACGCATAAGCACCCTTAAAACTACTTAAATTGGCATTATTATGTTTTTTGTCTGGATGTTTCAGAAGCAGCAATATGAGATGTTTTCTTGAAATGTTGATCATATTACAGTTAAATAAAGGAATAATTAAAATAATATATGACAAATAATCGCAATATAATTTTTGACCAAATTGTGCCTTTACTTTAAAATAAAACACTTACTTAAATATTGCTACTATTCTTCAGATTGTCATTGCTGTTTATTTTCATTGCTGTTATTATCATTGCTGTTCTATTGCTGTTTTTGTGTTTTGTGTTCACCGTATGTTGTATGTTTTGCACTCATACACTCAAAACGCTTACAAATCAAAAAAAAAAAAAAAAGATTTGTGCAATTAATGAAATGCAGTTACTGCTGCCTATAGAAAAACTAAAATTAGAAAAATTATTTTTTGTTGAATGCTGTGTGTATTATCTAAAAATCACTTTTATTCTTTTTTTAAATAGCCGTACACGTGCCATAATTTTATTGAAAAGTAAAAGATCATAATTTCAGAGGTAAAATTCGAAAGGTCAAAAATAGAAATTCAGAAAAATGAAAATGTACTCACCCTCGTGTTGTTTTACATGCGCATAAGATCTTTGATACACATATGTGACCCTGGAGCACAAAAGCAGTCTTAAGTCGCTGGGGTATATTTGCAGCAATAGCCAAAAATACATTGTATGGGTCAAAATTATCCATTTTTCTTTTATGCCAAAAATCATTAGGATATGAAGTAAAGATCATGTTCCATGAAGATATTTTGTAAATTTCCTAACGTAAATATATAAAAACTTAATTTTTGATTAGTAATATGCATTGCAAATAACTTAATTTGGACAACTTTAAAGATGATTTTCTCAATATTTAGATTTGCACCCTCAGATTCCAGATTTTCAAATAGTTGTATCTCGGCCAAATATTGTCCTATCCTTATCTATTCAGCTTTCAGATGATGTATAAATCTCAATTTTGAAAAATTGACACTTAAGACTGGTTTTGTGGTCCAGGGTCACATATGAGGATGTTTTTAATGACAGCTGAGAGATTTCGGTCCCTCCATTATTAGTTCACTCAGCCAAAACTATCAAGCTTAGGTTCATAAAGAGATTATAAAATAAATCCATATGCATCGAGCTGCTCAATCCAATTGTTCTGAAGCGACACAGTCGCAGATTGAAATCATATGTAAACACTGATCAATGCACACAGAGCACATCACATCAGCTGTGCCTGCTGGACATACGATAACAGTCCTCTCTCCGTCTCTGGTGATCAGGCGTTGTATGTGAACCCTGCAGACTGCTACAGCATCCACTGGCCCGTCTGCAGGGGACACCTGAACATCCACAGCGGGCCGGGCGGCTCTCTCACCGCTGCGCTGGCGGACCTGGAGACCATCTGGTCTCACGCTCTACAGAAACTCCTAGAAATCCCGCTGAAGGATCTGAAGGTACATGAAGAACATGCTGCTTCTGTGGCTTCAGCTCACTGAGCTGGCTTCATTTCACCGGCACGTGGAATTGAATGATTTGACGGCTTTGTTTTGAATTTTTTTTAGTATTACAGATGCATCCTTCTGATCCCAGACATCTGTAACAGGCAGCACGTGAAGGAAGTTGTCAATATGCTGCTGGTTAAAATGGGCTTCTCAGGTGTGTCACTAAAACCATCTGCACCTGCTGATCCCATCACAAGTGAGACGGTGTCATGTACACCTCATATTCCTGACAGTTTGTGGTTTACCATGTAATACTGTGTTGCGTTCAGAAATCATTATATTGCATGAATGTAAGGGAAACAGGCAAATTTAGCTCAAAGGGAACTGTTTATGATTTTATAGCGAATTTGGACAGAATCACCATTTTACGGCTGTATACTTCTCTTTTCAATATAGATAAGACTTTATTGGACAAATCTAAGTCATAAACTAATCTAACACATAAACACACATATTCACACAAGTTGCAGAAAGAGAGAAAGTGAGGATCGAAGGAGTTTAGGAGAGTGAAAATGTGAAATCCCAAGTTATAGCAATATGTGCAATTTCTTAGACCTGAACATCCATCCATCATTTGTGACCCTGGACCACAAAACTAGTCATAAAGGTCAATTTCTAGAAATTGAGATTTATGCATCATCTGAAAGCTGAATAAATAAGCTTTCCATTGTTGTATGGTTTGTTAGGATTCAGTGTTGCCAACTTAGCAATTTTGTTGCTAAATTTAGCAACTTTTCAGACTACCCTAGCAACTTTTCCTTCCAAAAGCACCTAGCAACAAATTTAGCTATTTTTTTAATTTATTTGGCAAATTTTAGCAACTTTTGATAAGTGACTTAAACGATAAAAAGGCACAATTTACCATTTAAATTACACAAAAAGAGGACACGAAAGATGCCAAGCAGTACACACATCACAGGAATTAAGTTAGCTGCTATTTGCAATTGTTTAATTTAATATAATAATTTAATAATTGAATACTGTTATTGTTCATTTATGAGACACTTTGCTAGTAGCTTGTAACTGCGTTTGTTGATGAGTTAGTTACTAACTCATCAACAATCGCAGGTTGTTTTTCCATTTTTTCGCCACCTTTTCCATTTTTCTACATATTTTTCTCAATTTACCATTTAAATTACACAAAAAGAGGACACGAAAGATGCCAAGCAGTACACACATCACAGGAATTAAGTTAGCTGCTATTTGCAATTGTTTAATTTAATATAATAATTTAATAATTGAATACTGTTATTGTTCATTTATGAGACACTTTGCTAGTAGCTTGTAACTGCGTTTGTTGATGAGTTAGTTACTAACTCATCAACAATCGCAGGTTGTTTTTCCATTTTTTCCCCACCTTTTCCATTTTTCTACATATTTTTCTACAGTGTACTAACTGTTAGTGCACTGTAAGAAAAATATGTAGAAAAATGGAAAAGGTGCTAGTAATTTTCCAGGACATTATCCGTTATCCGTTGTAACCCTGTAACCCAAAAACACAAAATACAATGTGTAATTACAAATTCAGGTAAAAAAAAAAAAAACCTGTGGAAAAATCAATACAGAAAAATCCTTCATATTAACATAGTAGATTGTGCACAATTTTTTACAGACTTTTCTTAGAGTGTAGCATACTAACTAACTAACTACTAATACACTGCTTAAAAGTGTAATTGTTCAGAATGTGTAGTTTTACTTGTTTACTAGCTAATAAAAAAAATACTACTTAAATTGTAATCGTTCAAAAATGTGTACATATTCAATGTATTTAAAAATAGTTATTTATATTTTAATATTATGCATTTATATTGTTACGAACAAATCTAAATTAACATATATAAAATATATATGTTTTTGCTAAGATTTGACAATTTTGCGTCGTGATTACTTAAAGGGGTCATATGATGTGCTAAAAAGAACAGTATTTTGTGTATTTGGTGTAATTAAATGTGTTTATGCGGTTTAAGGTTTAAAAAAACATTATTTTCCACATACTGTACATTGTTTCTCCTCTATGCCCCGCCTTTCTGAAACGCGTCGATTTTTACAAAGCTCATCGGTCTGAAAAGCGAGGTGTGCTCTGATTGGCCAGCTATCCAGTGCGTTGTGATTGGCCGAATACCTCA